CAGCATCAATAATTTTAATGTGCATCCACTTCATGGCAATTGCAAAGAGAGCATCTTGGTTTGGTTTGTGGTTTGGTTGGTCTCGTACTTCTCTCCTACTCCTGATGGATTTAGGAGTGAGACAAAAGTCCTTAGAAGAGAATCTTTTAAAGTTTGGTTTTTTTTTTTCTGAACGTGCAGGGGGTGGTGGGGTCTGTGTGCTCATAAAATGACTCGTGCAGGCAACTGGCTGGGTGGCAGGGAGCTCCTTACAGAACAATAAAAAAGGAAGTCTTGAATCTCTCCGTCCCGTGCTGGTTTACACCTCTGTGTAACTTTCACTGTAAGGTGAAGGGGAGGGATTCAGGAATGAGTAGGTTGAAATGAAGTCCCTACAAAAAGGTGCAGTCTGAATTATTACAGGTTTTTTACTGGTGGCTTTTTTTAGGAAATACTTGGGACAGGTTTTTGCAAAATTGAGCTAAAAATAGCTCAATATTTTCCCCCAGTAATGATTGGGGGAAAACCAACTGTGTTTCTTCGGGTGAGGATATTCCTTGTTGGGTTTTTATATAACCATGCATTAATATGGCGTGGGAGACAGGATTTACTTGGCCCATTTCCAATGTGTAGAAGTTCCCAAAGTGTCAGCTAGTCCCAAAATTTCAAGAACAGAACACATCCATGATGCAGTTTGCACCTTTTGTGTTGCACTGGAGGTTCTTGGGGCGCTTTATCCTCTATATGCACCCATCCTTCCTCGCTGTTTATAAAGGCAACCCGGACAATAAGGAGTGAGCTGCCTCCACCTGGACTTTATCCTATGGCTGATCATTTAAATTTAGATTCTTGTGGCTCAAAATTACAGCCCTTAACCTTCTGTTCTATTCCTTCACTCAACTGTTTTTTCACGTGCTTCCTAAGAGTCAGCACACGTACCTGCCAGCCGTGGTTATTACCTTCGTTTCGGTGGTTCAGAGTAGCACTCAGGACAGTTTCTTTCATTTTCCTTCTTCCTGCTGGGCTGCAGGTTGGCTGGGGTGGATTTCAGCTGAGCAGCTGCGTTTCGGCGTGCCATGGTCCATTAACCAGGCAAAAGGCTTGGCTTGTGTGGGGGGGGTTCACCTTGTTGCTGTAATATTGTGAAAACCACGCTGCAGGAGGGGAGCTTGATGGGAGGCCTCGTTCCCCAGGCTGAACAAATAGTTCTGATTCCAGCAACGTGCTAAGAAAATAAATAAATTTCAGAGAAAAAAAAAAAAGTAAAACAAGCCTCCCAAAACCCAGGAAGGGAATATTACGGAAGATTAAAAAGGAAAAAAAAAAAATAAAACCAAGATGATAGGAAAGGAAATGTGCCTGATTTTGAGATGAATCAAAATGTTCTTCAGAATGAAAACCATAAAACTTCTGCATCCTCTTAATGGTAAAGAATTAACCAGTTAACGAGCCCTGGGAGATGCAATAAACCTTTCAAACCAGCTGAGAGATGCTCAGGAATGAGTTGAGTAAATTCCTTTAGCTGCTGCGGTGATGAAATACGCTCGAGCCTCCTTTGTTGATGCATCCACATTGCCAGCCTTTTGGATTTTGTTTTCTGGAACTTCCTGTTCCTTGAGAGAGGGAAGGAGGGAAGGGGATTGATTTTTGGAACAGGAGAGGTGCAGTGCTGAGATTCCCACAAAGAGGCAGGCGTCCAAACCTGGCACCTGCCCATGGGTGGCAGCTGAGTCAGTGACTTCAGATTCTCTGGAGTCGGTGGTTGGAGACCAGTTAGCTCAGAAAAGGAATAAAACCAGCAGTGAGTATTAGTGCACTTCCATTACTGGCCTGGGAACGTGGAACTGGGAAGGGCTGTGTGCTGGGTTTAATAAACACAGACACCAGTTCTGGGCACAGGGGGTTGGGGCTGGAGGTGTTGTTACCCTCTGCTCGTTCCCTCCTCACGCCTTTCCCAAAGTGGGCTGCTTGTGGGGTGGCTGTCAGAAACTGGGTGCTGAGCTCCATGGATTTTTATGGCTGTTAATACAAACCACCTGCGTCATCAAGTCTGGTGGTTCTAATTGCAGAAACCCACGGTAATTAACTAACATTAATAGAATTTTAATGTAGATGCTATTACATCCTACGAGAAGAAATCTCCAGCAGTTTCCCGCTGTGATGTGGCTGAGATACCTCTCTGAGTCAAATCCAGTCATTGGTTTGGGATGTGGAAGCCAAAATCAGGACCTGTACACTGAGAAGTTCACCTCTGCAGCAGGATTTATTTCGTAGACAGAGATAAGTACGTGAAAAAGTCACAACACGGTGTCAGAAGCCACTGTAGATGGTCGTCTTGGCACGCTTCACATTCACAAAATTAAGCCTTAGCTTGTGCTCTCATCTTGCTGTTTCATTCTGGTGGTAAAAGACAGTATTCCCTCCATACGTGTATATACATATATAAAAGTGTATATTTAGCTAAAGGGGTTGGGACTCAAAGGGGAGAGGGAGGTTAAACACTCATGTAATTGTCAGGTGTTATCTTTGTTCAAAAATTAGAAAAATTAAGTCACTATTCCAGCAAAGGGCCTTCAAGATTAATAATAACCCTGCTTGAATTTCAGACACTTCTCCAACCGTGCAGAATTCCCCCAAAATATCCGTGGTGCTGGCGTGGTATATTTAGCTTAAAGAACAGCTCGTCCTGGTAACCGGATTGGGAAACACGTAGAACAAGCCTGCTAGAATTTTTCTATTAATTCTTTAATTAATATTTTCTATTAATTCTACTATTAATTCTTCCAACTGCCAGGATCTTCCATGACAAATAAGAGCTTTAGGAAGCGTGGTGTTGGTGCTGCATCCCTCACCTTGACCCGACTCACATTCTCATAAATCAAACAGCTACTGTTTTATTTATTTGCTTACTTAAATATTCCAACGGGTGCTACTAATATCAAGGGGGATCCCTATGGAGATTCCAGTACGGACCACTGAAGCCTTTGGGTTTTTGCAACCGAGCATCAGCAGAACTTGCCACGACACCTTCAAATTTGGGTGAACTTTGCAACTCTTGTAGTGGGGCCGTTGGCAGAAGGAAACGCCGCTGATGCGGTGCCGAGCCCAGCGTCCTCGCTGCGTTCGCCGGTGGGATTTGTGACCCCTTGCCTGGCGTAATGGGTGGTGGTGGGGAGACACACACGTGTGGACGTCTTGCAATGTCTCATTTGGTTCTCAGTGAGACCAAAACGAGCACAAATCTAAGGTCTCCTGCGATCTAGGGTGCTCTCTGTCCTCACAGAGGAAAAGAAACCACCAACTGTATCAGCATCCAGAGCCTCATCCTTTGCTGCAGTGGATGGTGCTGTTCTCACCTCTCTGCTTCTCTGCACCACTTGGCACCTGAGCCACACTTGCCTCCTAACGTGGTAGTGCAACACAGAACGTGTTTTAACCCTTTATGGCTACTGTTTGAGTATGATGTAACTCCTTCCCTGTCCTCTTAAAGCCTTAAAAACTTTCTTCTTCAAGACACGTTGAATCTTTTTGCGTAAAGGGGTAAGTGGTGTCCTCCAGAAATGTGTTTTTTTGAAACGGTATCAGAACGTGGGGCCATCTGTCCCACCTGCCCGTTCTCGGACATTCCTTATGGTGTTGTGGATGACTGATGCACGTGTTACCAACGTGCTCCCCAAAGTCTGCACCTTGCTTTGGAAAGCAGTGTGAGATGCTGTCAGTGCCTGGAGGTGTAATACTGGCGTCTGACGGACTCCGTTTGGACTGTCTCTTGGTATCTTTGGGTATCACAGGGCCAGGAACTAATCTGCTATAGCTGAGCCTGCCTGATTGACGTGTCCCACGGATTTACAGGCTTCCTTCTGTCCTGTGCTCGAGTGTGGAGTGGATGTGCCCTTAGCCCAGGATGCACCTGCTGGTTTCCAGGGAACCATTTAAAATGAGTTTTCTCTCTGGCTGCGTGAGCGTGGGCTGCAGGTCGGGGGAGGAAAGCAGTGAGGTGGCTGGGGAGGGGAAAGCACGGAGCGTCTAAGTTCAGTAGCACTTAAGAGAACCGACTGGCAGATGGCATTTGCTGCTTGATATAAGGGGATTTGCCATATGACCTATTCAGAATCCATGTCACGTGGCAAATTGATCAGACCTGGCATCTAATGCAAGAATAAACCTAGATCGTCGTGAGAGCTGTAGCAAAAAGGTGGCTTGCAGAGGAATCCAAGGATCTGAGCTTTTCCCGTGAAGATTTGCTGATGCCTACAAGAGCTCAATTCTAATTTTCTTTCTGTGTTCAGGGCAGCTTTATCTCCTTTTTTAAATAAAGTCATTTGCTCCTCCTTAAGCTTACAAGGATGGACAGATAGCTCCGGCAGTGGGTGCTGCATGAGGCTGAGAAGTCAACTGGAAGGAATCAGTTGGTGAAGCGGCTTGAATATTAACTTGACACCTAATTATATCCTCTGGGCTTATTTTTTCCATCCTGTCATACCCTGGTCTGTCTGTGATTTCTGTGAGTGTGGTATGTTGTGTAGCTATCTAAATCCAGTCACGCTCCAGTAGACATCGGGGATGAAACTATCAGTTGTAAAAACTCTCTTGGCCCTGGTGCAGAAAGTAGCATCTCCTTAATGTATATATTTGCTTAAACCAAGCAGTGTAGGCTAATCCCGCATAGATTTGAAAACAAAGGAAGTCTTTGGCCAAAGAGAGTGTGTTTACTCAACTTTATAGCTCTCCTGGAATGGAATTTAACACCACAGTTCTTGAGGGAGTTGTGATGGGACCTGCACTGTCTCTGCTTGACCAGAATAGACTTTTTTCAACCTGATTCATATCCCAGCATTTCTTTCAAGCAAAGTACGGTTTCCACACCAACTCCTAAAGTTACATTTGTTCCTGGCTTTCTCCTCTAAGGAAGAACTAAAGCAGTAGCCCAGCCGGGCTTAGTTTATGGCATCTGACAAGACCACAACCTGAACTAGGACGTTAATAACATGCTCAACTAACCAGCAACGCTTGTTCTTTAGTCCCCCAGGTCCTCAAGAGCTGCACTGAATTCATTGAGAAACATGGCATTGTGGATGGAATATATCGTCTGTCCGGGATCGCCTCCAACATCCAGAAACTACGGTAAGGGCACCACGCTGGAGAAACCCGTTTGCACGGGACACGTGAGACGTGCACGAGGTTCAGAGGCTGCTTCTGTGGCAGTTGTGGGGCAGACTTTTTCCAGGGGCTCCAGTGGATTCGTGTGGTCTGTCCTCGATGGACAGTACGTGGGGTTTGTCCCACCGTTTCGGAGCAACGCAGGGTTCCTTGGTAGACTTCGTTTTGCGGGACGTTTTCCTTCAGGGTGCAGCATCAGAAGGCTCTGGGGTTGTGGTGTCACTGTGCTGTCACGTTTCGTTCCTGTTTCCTCTTGCTTCTGGAGCCCTTTTGAGCAGCTGATGTTTCTCCTGGCTGCTTTGGCCTCCTGGCACGTTAGCAATTAATTGGTAAGGTGCAAAGAATACTTGCATGGTTCTCGGTGGGTGGCACTGCCACGCAGCGTGGCTGTGCAGGGAAGGGGTAGGTGTGTGTCCTCCCCACTTAGGAGCTCTTCTCATCACATTAAGTGATCTTCATCCTTTCTTGAGGCTGTTTTCCCTCCCAGCATTTGGGATGCATCTTTATGTCTGAAGAAACAGAGAACCTGGTGGGATGTGACTAATTCCAGGTTTGGTCCTAGGCCCACAGCCCCTCCGAGGCAGCTTTCCTCATGAAGGATATCCTTTTTGCACCAGCTATTCCCAAGTTTCACAGACAGGTTTGAGCTGGTACAGTTACTGTACAAACCCATGTATGGATGGGCTTATTCTGGTTCAGCTTAATCCTGTTTCTCACCACAGCGAGTTCCTTTTTAAAAACCTGCTCCTGAGGCTTTGATGTGCAGGATCCAAAGATTCTGGTTGTGGCTGTTGCCCACAGCAAGCTCAGCAGGATAAAATGTTTGCCCTTGCTTCAGTTACATCCCAAGTCCATTTTTTCCCCCTTTGTGTTGCCAAGACCGTTTTCTCCTTCGTTGTTTTCTAAAGGTGCTTTAAAAAGTTATCTAAAACTTTAATGGCATAATTCCCTGGCGTAGTACAGAGGATGAAGTGACAACCTATTTTTCTATTTTCCGAAATGTTCCAAAGACAAAAGGAAGGGAGCACGTGGCATAACCTGTAGACACTGTCCCTGTTGTTCATCTAAATCCCTACAGCTTTTCCTAAGTGTTTGATGAATGTAGGACATGTTGCATTGCTGTAGTTTCCAGCTCTATAAACAGATCATTAGGGCTTATTTCAAATCCAGAGCTGCAGTATCCTTATAAATGAGTCACTGTTCTTAAATTTCACATAGAAGAAGTGGATCTCCCGGATTTAAAGGGCTTTTTGGGTGGAGAGAAAGTTAGAGAATTTGTTCCACATGGGAGATTTACTCCAGGACAGAGGTTGGCTGTTCTGTTGATGTTTTTGAGGGACCGTGAAGTTGTATTCTTCTGTCCTTTGGGGTCAGAAGAAATAATGTGTAGTTCTCAAAACAACCAGTGCAGAGAGAACAGCTAAATGTGGTAGGGCTTCCCTTTCTTCACTCCATATTCCACTCCTGCAGGGATGTGGCATGAGATTTATTTTTTTTTTTCCTAGGGAAGATATACTGGAGCAGGGACATGGCCAGAGAGTTTCAGCCCAGGCTGAGTTTATTTGTGTGGGGTGGGTCGGTGTCTTTCCCTGATCTCCCTTCTGAGCTTTCTCCTCTTCTGCAGGGCCAAGTGCAGGAAATAAGTTTCTGTCCCAGATATGAGTCAGTGGTGAGTCAGAAGGTGCCCGTGGGAGTGGTATATCCCGAACACTGAGGACTGTGGCTGCAGGCAAGCCATCAGTTGGGGAAAACAGACCTTTTTCTGGTGCCCTCTTTGGGGTGAGGAGCTGGGGTGGACTGTTCACCCTCTTGCCCCTGAGTCTGGCGTAGCAGGGAAGGAAGGAGCTCCCTCCTCATCTCCTAAGGGATGTACGGTTGACTCCTGCGGTTACTGATACTCCTGGTGCCTTGGACGTGGGTACAAACTGGTTCTGCTCTGTAGGCAGAGAGGTGAGCTCCATGTTGGAGCCGTGCCAAAGGTGTGTTTCACCCTCTAGGTCACCCATTGCCTGGTGTAGACAGTGGGAGAAGCCGGGGCTGTCGCCACCGGGCCCCTGACGTTGTTGTGGGTGTCGCGTAGACAGGATGACTCCCCACGTCGATGATAAGCAGCTCTGGTTTACAGCTTGGAGACCCTTGTAGGGTCTCAAAGAGCCACGTTCTCACCGCTCCCCGTGGCCTGACTCACCACGAGTCCCTGCAAATCCCTCCTGCTAATTGGAAACAGCACTTTCCAGGCACATACTCCAGCAGTGAGCCAGCCCTTGGCTTTCTAAGCTCAGCTTTTATTTCATCAATGTTTGTGATTTGGGGTTTTGCTCTTTCTGAAAACCAAGGCAACGCTCCGAGATGTTCTTCATGTGGTTCCTGGCGCTCTTCGCCCCGTAGCAGAGGCGTGCTCAGCTCGCCAGCTTGTCCCCAAGGAATTTCTGCACACACCAGTTCCCGTGGCACTGCCTGCTGCTCCGCATTGCTTTCTCACTTCAGTTTCCAGGCCTTGGGAATGCAAAGGGACAGCAGCTTTCAGTCAGACCTGGGGGCCTCCTCCTCCTCCTCCAGGCAGCTCCCAGGCACAGCCCTTGTGTTAAATATTCAGATTGTCTCCATGGTCTTGGAAGACATTCTCTGGAGGCTTTGTGAAAGGCCCTGTTGCAGGAAAAGGGACTGTGGAGTAACCAGTCGGTTGTAAAACTGACTGAAAATGCTTTTTAAGAAAAAGAGTAGTCTCATTTTGGAAAAATCCAGTCTAGCAGCACCACAGCCCACGGGTCGTGTGGCTTTGGTGACTGACTGTTTGTTTTTTCCTGTAAATCAGGAAACCCTTGCTTTTCTTGACTGTAATCTGCCCTGGGTTTTATTTTCATTCCTTCTTTCCAAACCTCTTTGCCCATTTTTCTGTTCTCATTTCCAGCCACGAGTTTGACTCCGAGCAGATTCCTGACTTGACAAAGGATATTTACATCCAAGACATCCACTGCGTGGGCTCCCTCTGCAAACTGTACTTCCGTGAACTCCCAAACCCTCTGCTGACCTACCAACTCTATGAGAAGTTCTCGGTAAGTACCAGGCAACCTTCCTCTTCAACAGGACTTCATCTTCACCTCCCTGAAGATGAAGAGCAGCACCTTGGCCGCGTGGTTAGGGATGCTGCAGCAGGTATGACTCGCAGGTAACTCCCTCCCTGCCTTGTTCCAGGACGCTGTTTCTGCTGCGACAGACGAGGAACGCTTGGTGAAAATCCATGATGTCATCCAGCAGCTGCCCCCACCTCACTACAGGTCAGTGCAGCCTTTGCTCTGGTGTAGGAGAGAAATGACACAATTGGCGTTTTCCCCCTCAGGAGAGATGTGCTGTGCCTCTGTAAATTAAAATATATAATCTGTATGTTAATGATTCTTAAACTAGTATTAATAACTAATATTTGCAATCATGTATTGTAAAGTAGGCTTCACCAGTTACATCCTGTAGTTGGTATACATGGCTAATTACAATGTATGTTAAAAGTTACTTAAATATCACTAACTTGTAATGAGTTGGCCTAGTTGGGATGCTGTATCCTGAGTGGCTTAGAGGACCATTAACAGTTTATGCACATGGGTATTTATCTATCAATGATACTTCCTGATAGTTGTTAATTGGTACAGCTGTTTGGGGTCAGTGGCTAGCCAGCTCTAATGCCTGCAGCTGTCCTTTGGCTAATAGATACCAATAGAGTCTATTTGAACCTAATAAAATCTATTTGTCTTAAATAGAATCTAACAGATTCTATTCAAGGGCCTGTTAGTGCACGCCTGTTAGGGTGCGGGGGTATCAGGGTGTGTGCACATATTAGTGTGCACGTGTGTTACTGGGTGTGCATGTTAGACTGAGAATAGAATAGCACATGATAGAATTGAAAAAATGGAATAGAATAGAAAGAGCATGTTAGACTGAGAATAGAATAGCACAGCATAGAATAGAATTGAAAAAATGGAATAGAATAGAATAGAAAAAATAAAGAAGAATTTTAAAAAATGGAATTGAATAGAATAGAATTGAATAGAATAAAATAGAATTAAAAGAGTAGAATTGAAAAAAATGGAATAGAATAGAAAAAAATTGAAAAAATGGAATTGAATAGAATACAATAGAATTGAATTGAAAAAATAAAATAGAATTGAAAAAATGGAATGGAATAGAATAGAATAGAATAAGAATAGACTTGAAAAAATAAA